CAATGTGAGGGAATTGCAGTACCAGTTGGTGAGCGCTTGGTACCAGATACCGCAAACTACCTATCAGCACCTTGTGGAATCAATGCCACTGTGGCTGCTAGCAGTTTTGAGGGCTAAAGGTGGTCCTACATGTTATTAGCAGGGTGGTCATAATGTGATGGCTCTTCGATGTATATTGGATTAGTATTTTTCTAATAAAAGATGGATGCAATTTTTCTTATTACTTGAGTTTCAAGATACAGCAATCTAAACTAAACAATCTGTGGCATTTCATTTCTTCTCGGAGAAGAAAAGAATATTGTCAGAACTACCAGAATATGGTAACATTTACCATGTTTCTGATCTATGAAAACACCAAAAAGCTTGTTTATTTTTACAGAGATGCTTTGGTAATGATTTTTGTAAAAGTAACAATAAAATATAGTTTGATAATCTGTGATATAATTTGATAATTTTATTATGATACCTTAGCATGGCATAAAAACTATTTCCATGGTTAAATTTACTTTTCAGTTTTGTACTTTTTACTAAATGTGAAGTAATAAGAGCTATAAGTTTGAAAACAAGAATTTCCGGTAAATTGCTACCATATGAACGGTAAAATTACCAAATGAATACCGTATTTTGATTTCATTAAGAGAACTTTTTTTCTCGAAATGCCATTATCATACAGGACGGTAATTTTACCATAATTCTCCCCTGTGTATGTTTTATATGGGGAAAAAATGATACAGTTATTCTAATTACTTTAGTTTTAAGATAAAATCAAACATTTTGTTTAAATTTTAATGTCTAGTTGTGTTCACAAGTTCTCGTTCGAAAAAAGACTATTTTTCACGTGACCATATGACCGCCCTTTGCTTTTTATTATCAGTTGTTAATGCACATTCCCATTCTGCGTAAAGAAAAAATAGCGTTAAATTACAATGACCTTCAAGTTACATCATTTTTATCATAATCGTTGAGTTTTCAAGTTCATTTCGTCTGAAAAGTTAAAAATAATTTGGGACCGTGCATAAAATTTAAAGCTTCACAAGTTTAGTTAGTTAGTTTGGTTTATTAAGTTAAAATAAATAATTAAGCATCACTTTAAAAAAAAATTTAATACTGTGACATTAGGTCACAGCATAATTTATAAATATTGTTTTTTTTAATCAATAATACTAATTCTTTTAATTTTGTAATACATTCTTTTATTTTCATCTTTCTTTAGCCCCTTAAGCGGTAGCGCAATTTGGACATTCTCCCCCTAAAATTCCTTACCAGCTCCTTAAAAGAGCCCCTTTATTTCGAGAAGTTTCCACCCTTTTTTTTCTGAGAATTCCACTGGTCGTCGGCATCTTTCATCTCCGCGTGTTTGTTGTGTTTCTCAACCGTAACTTTTAACGCATAATCATTTTTTCATCTCAACTCGTGATTTTTAGGTAATTTAACTTTAACTTTTACAACATGCACTACAACTTCAATTTTAAGTTTTTGGATCTTATAAAAAGGATGAGCGCGAAAGACGGAGAGCTTTCGATAATTTGATGTCATACAATTTGCTGCCCTCCGCTTAACGGAGTTTTTAACATTTTTGCTCCCACCCCCTAAGGTGGAGAAGCGTTTTTTTTCGAAGGATGGCCTCTCTGCGCNTTTTAATGTCTAGTTGTGTTCACAAGTTCTCGTTCGAAAAAAGACTATTTTTCACGTGACCATATGACCGCCCTTTGCTTTTTATTATCAGTTGTTAATGCACATTCCCATTCTGCGTAAAGAAAAAATAGCGTTAAATTACAATGACCTTCAAGTTACATCATTTTTATCATAATCGTTGAGTTTTCAAGTTCATTTCGTCTGAAAAGTTAAAAATAATTTGGGACCGTGCATAAAATTTAAAGCTTCACAAGTTTAGTTAGTTAGTTTGGTTTATTAAGTTAAAATGTATAATTATGCATAACTTTAAAAAAATTTTAATACATACACCTATAATGGATAGGAAGAATTTCGAGAAATGTGTCCAACTGATTTAAATCAGAACTATAACTATTAATTGTGACTTAACTTAAATATTGATTGTGACTCAAGATGGGAACAAATAGTTAAATTTATGGGGTTATTTTATATGCTGTGAATAAACAAGATCAATTTGTGGTATTTTTTTCATTCATTAAATTCTTTTACAAAATTTTCGTTTGATGTGAATACAATTCGCAAACTATTTTCAATACAATGTTTGATGTGAATACAATTCGCAAACTACTTTTAATACAATGTTTGATGTGAATATAATTCGCAAAATATTTTCAATACAATGTTTGATGTGAATATAATTCGCAAACTATTTTCAATACAATGTTTGATGTGAATGCAATTCGCAAACTATTTTCAATACAATGCTTAATGAGAATACAATTCGCCCTGTCGAAATCATTCCGCTTCTCACAAAATCCATTTCTACCGATAAATCTAGTAAAAAACGGAACAGTTTCGGGAGTTCGATTGCGTAAATTTTTCTATCCGACATTTATCAAACTCTCCTTTTTTTTCAATGAAATTATTTAATTATTGTTTTTAATAAACGGGGAAATTAATTATTGAAATACTTTTGAATTTAGTTTTAAAATCTTCGCTTAACGCGAGTATATTTTCCCTCTTTATAAAATCAATTATTTTTTGAAAAACAACGAAGTTTTCTAAATGATGCCGTTTTTTTTCCGGAATTCATCACAGAAGAAAAATTCTGTGAAAAACTGAATGGTTTCAGCAACGTAATTGCTTCTTTATTTACGTAATATAAGAACGGAATCTTCCTTTCTTCAACGCAATTATTGTATTTCGTCATAATTTTCGTTCCATTTTTCATCTAAGTGTTTCTTGGTAAATCTCTAACCTTGAATTTCAGATATTCCTAGAATAGTTTTCTGACATGTTCTATCGTTGATCAAATATTAAAATTTAGAGCATAATCTAAACACTTTAATTTTATTGAATCGTAAAGCACTCAACGAGTATTACAAATGAAAACAAATAAATAAAAAAATCAGTTACAAACTTACCAAAATAGTAAAGATATTTCTTCAACTAAAATAGAGTCGTAATGTCTCAAAAATATTGATTTATAATCCTTATATAAAGCCTTATGTTTCTATAACCTTTCATAAAGGTGACATGCACGTGTTGTTTGACTTTTAATGGGCACTTAAAATTATATAGTCAGCCAGTTTCAGGTATTAAAGAAATTGCTGCACTTTCACGAATGAAACTCTCACTTTTGATGATTTTGCAATCCTTGGGCAGAATTTCGTTAATTTTGATAATCATTTCGTCACGAAAAAACGTGATTTGTGGCGAAACGTGAACTCCAAAATAAATGACGAAAATGTTTAATCAACTCGAAATCGCATCATAGTGCAATGTAGTAGAATGACGAAACTAGAATTAAGTCTAGGCAATCGAAAATAAAGGGACGACTTAATCCGACACGCATGTATGGTGGTCAAGGTGGATCTCGTGCCAGAGATGCAGATAACATTGAGATATAAATAACATCTTCTTACAATCCAGTAATCTGCTTTAATAACTCACAATCAAGAACTCTAAATCAACAGACTAAGTAATGTCAATTTTTTTTAATCAAAAATCAATTTAAAAAACAAATTATTATTTTTTTTGTCAAACCTAAATTTTGAAAGCTTTCGTGTTCAAAACAAATTAAACAAAATCTTTAAATTATTAAATGCTTTATGAATAATAATGCATTATTATAACAATTAATGCATTATTATTTTGATTGTACGGTTTATTAAAAGGAAGTGAAATTATACAATTTTTTTGTACTATGCCTGAGCACAAGTATCCTTCTTACATTTTAAGCTCTAACTAATTTTATAAATTAAGTTTAATTTGCATGTTATATTTATTTCTTTTAAAACATTCTCAACTTACAAATTGTAAAATGCAAAAATTTTTATAACTCTGCTTATGCACATAAAGTTTTATCGGGATTCTGTCTTAAAAAAAATTCTATGAAAAAAAATCACCCTGAATAACTTTTGTTCTAATGATTGGATATTCGAGCAATAAATACTAATCTAAATGAATTATAAGGAAGATCTCAAACTTACCAATTAATCAGAGCTAACTTTTAATTTAGTAACAGAAACAGGCACAAAACAGTATTTTCTATGAATAAACCTGCTTTTTATGATAGATTTGGAATTTACCCTCAAAATATGGGTAGTAGCCTCAAAATGTATGTTAGTAGACATAAAAATATGAGTCGTAGCCATAAGTATTATTTCAATAGTTAAGTCAGCAGAGCAGGGGAAAGTATTTCGTTCACTGAGTATTTCACTGTATCTCTGAAATTTTTAAAAAGAATTGAAGGAGTTTTAAATGAAATGATAATATACGTATATACAATGAGAATTCTATTTAAAAATATTTTTAGAGTGATGTCTTTTTATTTTCTTTGAGTACGTATCATCCGTGCGAAATCTGAATCGATGTTGTACAAAATATTTCTCGGTGTTGTACAAAATATTATATACCCTTGTACAAAATATTTCTCGTTAAAAATTCTCACAAACATAAATAAAACCGAAGACATAAAAGAATAAAATTCCCCCTACAGATCGGCTTCATTTTATCATAAATGTATCGTTAATGAATAATCGATCTCGGTAAAAATCAAGTTTACATATACATATTTAAAATGAAGTTTACATAAACATGTTTAATCTGAAATAAAGTATAGTTTACCCGAAAAACATCCGTCACTTCATACAAACTGCTGCATTTTTTTTATCCTTAACAAAAAGTTTATTTCACGGATAAAAAATGAAATATTAGAATTGGAAACTGAAAAGTGTATCGGAATCATAAACTGACAGATGCAAGTTAATACTATAAGTAATTTCCAGGTAACCACGCCAAAATCATAGCCTTACTTTTGTACAAGAAGTCTCACTCTAAAAATTTAAATAAACATAAAGGCATAAAAGAAAAAGCAATCCTACCTATGGAATCTTCATAAATGTGTATTCAAGGAATAATCCATATTGGTACGAACATAGTATCCAGAAAGTTATGTCACGAGGAAAAGTGTAGTTAATCCACAGGTTGCTCAACACCTTACGCTTCATGCTGAACTTTCCACCAGAATGGCAAGCTCTGAATCAACATTTTTTTACTTTTTAACTGCTCTAGTTAATAAAATTCATGCAAGAGTTATGGCTACTTGTGATCTTACAAGTGGCTAGAACTACAACCCTCTTAAAATTTAGAAGTATCCTACAAAGAATGATCATAGGTTTTGAAGAATCTTCTCGTAGAAGAAGAGACACTTGAATCTTCAGTGGCCTTCTTCAAATGTTGGATGAATTTGCCAACAGGTTGTCGAGGACCTATTTTTATTATGGTTCTGAGTATGGGACTTATAGAAGTAATAAAATTTGCAGTCTTAGCTAAGTGAAGATCGTTATTAAAACTGTAACCTAGCAACAACTTTGAAAGAAAAATGTGCTTACAAAAATGTTTTAATTGGCTTAGAAGATAATTATCAAGCCCTAACTTAAAGCTCAAAATGTTTTTGAAGTATTTCTCTTATGAAAATAAGAATTTTATGTGGCGGGTAAACAACTGAACCACTTTGGTTTTGAAATTTTCAACAGACCACTATTAAGAATCCATAGTCACACTTGAGAAGAAAGTCAGTCATATGTCCATTAAAAACATAGAGTCGAAAAAATTTATTAGCTTTTCGAAAAATAAGGTATCAATTTGATTTAGTAAATAATAATTTCATTATTATGCGTAAAAGAAATATATTATTTTGCGACCTGTCTTACAAGGAAAACGTATAAGATGTCACTCATAAAATCAAGACGTGTTTTACTTTATTAATACTTCCAATCATACTTAAACAAATGGAAGCTCTGGTTTATGCAAAATGGTCTGTTCTGCTGTGTTTGATATAATGTATATTTGAAAATGGATTTATTTTATGAAACTAATTTAAATATATCGCTGACTTTTTTCAAACATTGCATTCAAACTCAGTTCTATGTGAATGTCACATTGTTAAAAGGAAACGTGTTGCAGTATTTGTTAATTAAGTTTGTGACAAACAAACGCGTCTTTACCTAATGTGACATGAAATTAATGGAGAAAAAGTATTAATATAAAATATATCTATACTAAATATATTCATACATTACATTAATTTATTCTTTCTTCCATACATTTCATTTCTAACACAAAATTCATCATAGTTGGTGAGGGATACTTAGAATATCACAAAAACTTGGGAATTTGTTGTTACTTATGGTCCATGTCCACTAAATGGCAATTTGATTTGATATTGTAATCTGGTGTTACCATGTATAATTATTTGCGGCTTTGTCATATCAACAATCTATGAAATCTACGATTACACTAAGAAAAAAAGTATGCTTAAAATTACCAGAATATGGTCAAATTTACTGTGTTTCTAGTTCTATGGGAACCCCAGAAAGATGGGTGAGTTTTACCGAAACGTTTTGGCAATGATTTTGGCAATTAACAATAAAATATAGTTTTGTAATAGATAGTAAAATTTGGTACGTGTAATTGGTAAAAGGTTAATAGGGAAATGGCTAATAGGTAAATGGTTAATTGGTTAATGGTAATTTGGTTTGGTATTTGGAGCCTTGCGTAAAAATCATTTATTCAGTTAAATTTACTTTTCAATATTTTATTTTTTGCTAAATATGTGGTTATAAGAACTATAATTTTGAACTCCAGAATTTCCTGCAAACCGTTACCATATGAATGGAAAACTTACCAAATGAATGGTTTATGTAAATACAGTATGCTTTGGCTTTAATTACGGGAATTATAGTTTTTTTTTCCACCAGAAATGTTATAATCATACACATGGTAGTTTTACACGATTTTTTTCGCCAAATAGATTTATATTTTAAACCTACCTCATTTTTAGCGCATACACTCAATTAGTACTCAATCATCAATTCAAGAAAAAACAATGGTCTTATGATAACATTTAGAGTGAATTTTATTTTACTGAATTTTACTTTTTCTAACATGTTTTACTGACATCATAATAAGTGATATATTTGTGAGAGAGTTATAAAACAATTTATCACTTAGATATTAGCAAACGTACTCAATATTGCATGTTTTCTATCAAATCACTGAAATTTTCATCAAATTTAAAATAAATTTTCTTTGAATTATCATTATAAAATGTGAGCAATAATTTGCGTAATTCTTTTTATTAATTCTTTTATACTTAATACTTTTTATTGAAAATACATTTCAATGGATATTTTTATCACTATTAAACATTTTGGAGCATAAGGAACCGTAATATCAATCAAACTTACTGCAACTTTAAAATGGTGTCAAGTTGAACCATATTATCATACTTCTTAAAATTAATTACTCCATACTATGGTTCAACTTGAACAGAAACAACTGCAAGTTGTTACTGAATTATAATGTTTACATGAATTGTATTGTTAAGTTATCACCCTGAATAACTTTTGTTCCAATAATCGGATTTTCATGTACTGTAAACCAATCTTGATAGTTTCGAAGTTTATCTTCAAATATGCAAACTGATTAATAGTAACCAAAAAGGTTGGAGTATATTTTGTGCTATGCAGACTAAAAAAATTTGAAAGCACGAGGGAAAGTTTATAAAATCGACATACTATAATTTCGGTTCTATGATCGTGTTTAGACACTGAAGAAGTTATTTGGTGTTTAGGCTGACACTGAGGAAGGTTTTTGTTCACAGAACGAAAAACTATAGTATAAAAAGCATATTGGGCATTACGCTTTTTTATTTATGCTTCATTGTTTTTTTCTTTAATAATAATGCACTTCAAAAAATTCTGGATTAAATTATGGTAATAAGAACTAGCACCCTGAGTGCAGCTTCCATAAAATTCACTTTACCATAAAATTCGCTTTTATTGTAAAATTTCATGACGTAATTTTTACCATAACATTTATTTAATTACATTAATTCATTAATTTTACAATAAGTACTGTAAATAAAAATTACGGTTTATAAGATATTTCATTCTGCAAAACTTAATATTTAAAAGTACTGGCAACCTGAGTGCCTGTACTTATTCTAGTAATTTGAACTGGAAGTTTTACCGTGTAACTATTAATTTAGTTACGTACTTTTTCTTGGTATAAATATGCCCTTTCATTGGGACTTGTATTCAATCTAAAAAGTATTGCCCCAATAGTTCAGCTGGATTAGAACGTAACTTGAAAATATTAAAAACTGATATCAATTTTCCAGAAATTTCTCAAGATTAGGTTTCACTTTAGAACAGAAAATTCAATGTTTTATTTATATAATACTTCATTTTGAGTTTATAAAATATTCTTGAGATTCTAGTAGAATGAAATACAATCTTTAATATTAATATACTAATTATTTGTAAATTTTTTTACGTGCGTAAGAAGGATTTAGTCAGGATGGAGATTAAAAATTTGATCCCTTTAAAATCAACTTCACTTTTTGCGCATTTTACTATAACTCAGTAACTATTTAAGAAGAGCGAAAAAATTTTCACACACAATTACTCAAAGATATCACAATGCAAAAAATGATTCAAAATATCTCTTTTAATTTTATCTAAAAATAGTAAGAAATTTTTTAAAATGTCAGGCATATAAATTTTAACATCATTTTAAACATTTAATTTTTAATTACGCAAATTTAAAACTTTAATGAAATTAGTTGAATAAGTTTTGAGAAACTATAATTCATTAATTTGACATTTTTTGAAATTGTATAATTAAGACCAACTGTTTGACCGATTTTGGTCAGATTTTGTATTTTGCCATTTAAAAATAAATAGTTTAAAAAGATGCTAAATAAATTATTTAATAAATCAACTTTTTCTCCGTTTATTATTAAAGAAGATAATACGAAATAATAAATAACTATTAATCATATCAATTTTTTCCCTTCAGATAAAGGAATTTTATAATCGTAAACAAAAAAATCTGATTCATTGTAAGAGTTTCAGATTTCCGATAAAATACGCAAAAAGTCCAATAATATTAAAAGGACCAAATTTTTGATAGAACTTTTTACAAAACTATTAGAATCAATCACATTTTTCAGTTTGCAGTTACCCTACACATTTTGACAATTTAAAATCCAAATCTCTTAAAAAAAACCTTCATTGAAAAAAATATGATTGTTATATGTGATTCTGTCACTTTTAAATAATTAACTCTAATTAATTAGCATATTTGCAGTTGAATATTTGAACCATTGAGATTGGTTTTTAATACGAGACGTAACAATTATTAGAACGAAAGTTTTTCTTTCAGGATTAGATGTGTTTTTTTCTTCTTTTTTTGTTACTGTACCAATATGACAAAGTACAATGTTGAATCATTTTTTTCCCTTTGTTGTTACTGTACCAAAATGACCGAGTTCAATGTAAATTTTTTTTTCTGAGAGTATAACACAAAATTATTAATAAATTTCGGATGTTGTTTAAAAATATTACCATTAAAAATTTAAAAGCACTTCGATGATAAATAAGAATCGATTGAGGGGAAAATATAATCAAAATGACGTAATACAATATAAATTACTATAAATTAATCATATGAGTTTTATCCGTGAAATATTTAAACACATTAGTTTTTCAAATAACTGAATTAAAAAAACTTAAATGTGCACTCTAAAAAAAATCGACGCACCAAGAAGGAGTTGAAACGAAAATTGGTGGATAGGGAGACAATGTAAAGAATAGTAAATGATTAAAATTTCAGAACAATTGAATAATTTATTGCAGAGTTACAGTAACAAGTTCAATAAGGTGTTGACCCGCCTCTAGCCTGGATACAAGCTGCCACACGGCGTGGCATAGACCGATAAAGCTCCCGGATGGTCTCTTGCGGTATTTCCTGCCAAATTCGATCCAATTGTCGAACGAGGTCATCAACATTCCGTGCCAGATGCAATCGCCTTCCCATCATATCCCAGACATGCTCGATGGGAGAGAGATCTGGTGATCTGGCAGGCCAAGGAAGAGTTTGACAAGCTTGCAGACAGTTCATAGCAACACGTGCCGTATGTGGTCTGGCATTGTCCTGCTGAAAAACCAGCCCAGGGCGCTGCAAAAGGAACGGTAGCAAAACAGGTCTTAGGAT